ATTAAGTTCAGGAAATAGAAGTGAATATTAACAAGGGATATAATCACAGTCATTTAAGAAAGTGGATCTATCTTTTAATACTGCTTATGTTTTCTGCTCTGTCAAAAATATTCAGAAGTCATCCTTGAAATAATGTTCCTGAGATAACTATTTCACTGTTTTCAGCCATTGATGACTCTGGTTCTGCATAATCACCTTCAAGATCTGCACCTACACAAGATTTTACCAACTTAGATGGAGGAAAGAAAATTCATTATGAGCTGCAGTCTGAATGGTTATGAAGAGTGAAGAATACTGAAGCCTAAAATTAGAAAACAAAATTAAGACAAAATTAGTGAACCTCTACAAAAAGCAACAGTTACCTCTTACCTGGTATTTTCTTGTAGAAAGGGCAGTGGGCTTTTTTTGTTCCTTCACCTGTAGTAGATAATTCTTTAATTTTTTTTCTCCACCTTTTTTGGCCACCAGAACTTATATCTGCAAAGGCTCCATTTATAGTTGAACTTTCTGTAACTGCTTCTACATCTTCCACAGACCCTTCAGCTTTCCTTTTTGGCTGTCTGGGCCTCTTTCCATTGGGAGTTACTGAATTTGGTATCTGCTTTCCCTCACTCAAACACATCTCTCCTTTGCCTTCCTCTTTTACTTTGGGTTTTAACCCAAAGAAAACACCAATGTCCATTTGTTTGAGTCCTTTGGCAGAACTAGATTTGGCATTCAAGTCTGCTAAAGAAAGAGATGTTTCTGGTTTAGAGATGGGGCTGGGAAAGCACACAGCAGCTGTCTTATGGTTTCCTTCTTTCTCCACTACTGACTGCAAACTCTCCTGGCAAGTTGTTTTTTCAGTTGCATTGGCAGTTATTTTATCTGAATTAGTTAAAATGTTACCTGGGTCCCTCAAAACATTACATTCCTGTGTCAGAAGATATCCAGCATCATCTCTGACTGGCAGTGGTGATGTCTCAGTAAAACTCACACACGCAGAATCCAAAGCACAATCATCAAAATCTTCTGACTCTGTGTTACCTGCTTTAGCAGCAGAGGAAATAAATTCTGGCTGTTCAACCTCCTCGCAATTAAAAGGAAAAGAGGACCCACTGGCCATCGCCTCTTCCTGATGCTGATTATCTACACATGTTGAATTAGAGAACCTCCTGTTCATGTGACTCTGAGAAACAGTTTTTACACCGTGATCTAGATAGTTTGATGTATTTAATTTCTCAGAGTGTTTTTTTTTAATTATAAAATTTCCCATTTTGGTATCCTCATACTGAGGCTTCTGCTGTAAGAGAAGTCCATCAAATGTTTTAAACACCACAGAATTAGATTCTTCATCCTCAAAGTTCCAGCCTTTGAATAATTTATTTTGTGATATTTTTACTTTCTTCTCTTCCTCCTCAGTTTCCTCTTCACTTTCCTCAAAAGTACTCAGTGGAGAATAAGAAATTTCACAGTCACTGAAGTCTGCTTTCGACTGTAGTAGACTTGGCTGATATGTATCTTTCTGACTACACAGATCTTCTCCTGTTCCACTTTCTTGAGAGGATGCAAAGTCATAAAATTCAAATTTACAACTACTATCTGTGGTCTGTGTAAACTGAAATGTCTGTTGAGCCTTTTGAACACCTGCAAAAGAGGAAGTACTTCCACCGATTTTATTTAGAGACTTCATTTGTGGTGAACCCTGTACCACCAAAGTACAGTCATCATTCAGTACATTTTTTACACTATTAGATGGTTTCTCATTCTGTGAGATTTCCTCTACATGACTTGGGAAACAGCTGGGCTTTGCAGCAGTAGAATATGTCATCTTCCTCTCTAAAGCGTTTGTCGAAGAGTTTACAACATAATCTCCTGCCCTGCTTGCTGCAAGTAGAAAATGGCTGTAACGCTTGTAGTGGGATGGAATGGTGGAAGTACACAGTAAACCATCAGGACACTCTATGAAGAGTTAAACAGAGAAATAACATTAGTATCTTTGCAAATATAGTTGGCATAATTATTAAAATAGAAAAATCACACGTGACACACAATTTTAAAGCTTTTTCTTATAAATGCAGCTATTGGAAGACAGAATACAGAACTAATTTTCAAGCTGCCAAGACCTTCTGCCCTGAGCTGGCTTTTATGAGTTGCTTTTATGTTTATATTTATTTAATACAGCACTATGCCTGAATTAATACAGCGCTCTAACAACAAGAGTACTTAACCCTGTTTCAGTGCTGTGCTAATATAATCATATGGCTTCTAGTTTAGAATTGTCTCACATACAAGCAACGAGCTCAGAGCAATAGCAGCAGAAAAGGCCAGTAGACTCGTTTCAAAACAAACCAAATCTCAGTTCTGAATCAACCTGAAACTCCATTTCAAATTGTCTACTGGGTTACACATTCAATTTTAAAAAAAAAAAAAAAAAAAGGTCATGTATTTACTTATTGTGAAAAAAGCATTCAAGATTAAGACACCAGCAAAAAAATCTGTGGCTATTCCCTAAACCTTTTTTTGTAGAGAGTTTGCTAGCCTAACTTTTGAGGATTTTAAGGTGAATGCATAATTCAAGCAGAAAAGATTTTTCATTTGTTAATTATGGGAGTAAGAGATGGAAATGAGGTGTTGTTAACACACCTGCTTTAAAATAAAACCACTGCCAAAATCGGGATTAAAGGGCTCACATTTCACTGCTCTGAGGAAGAAACTTCAAGGAAAGTTACAAAGATATAAAAAGAAATGTGACTTTGTTACCTAAACTGCCTTTACTCAAGTTTCCTGACTGCATGCTGTTTTTCAAGTTTTGAGGTGCATTAAGTACATGTTAGATACCCGGATCTGTTCAGATACACTATTTCCCCACATGAAACTAGCAACTGGATGAGTCAGGTTTTTTTTCATCTTGTACAGAACTCAAAACAAAACTGCACTGCCCTATGATACAGGAATGTTCATGCACAATTCTGTATAAAATTTCTAAAGCATACTGGATCAGGGGCTAACTCAAGTAAATTAGCCTAACAAACTGATTTGAGCTTCCAACTGTCCATAGACAACAGAACAAGTCACACAGCAACATGGATACAGGATAATAAAATTTATACCTAAGGAGAAAGAAATTTGGTGTCAAAAGTAGCAGCCTCTTAATAGAAGGAGATTTTTTTTTTGCTGACAGTGACTTAGTAATTGAAACAGGTTCTGTTATTTTAAAATGGCAGAGACCTTCAGTTTCTTCAACAAATTATTAAAACTGAAGTTTGATAAAAAAACATGAATGTTTATTATTCTACAAAGTTTTGAGATTAGATTCTGAGACTTTCATGCCAGATTTCTATGTTCTTCACAAAGAACCAAAAATCTCAAACAAAAGTAATACTGATAAATCATCAGAAGTAACATTCTAAAAATCATACCAACTACCGTGTCAGACTTTGCACTAAATATCAAAACCAAAGTTTACAGCAACATTAGGTGAGAAGCCTTTACCTCTTAAGGCTTTTTTCTCACTCTGTTCATACCTTTTTCAATGGATCCTGGTGTATCCAAACATTCAGCAACATGCCACCGAGGTGTCTGAACCAACAGCAACGAGAAAGGCATCTGGCAGCTCGGACAGTATCCATCGTGAACGGGTTTTGCATTTTGTGAGCTCTGTTCTGTCAGGCTACTCACGCTTTCCTGGGAGTGCACGCTACTGTCATCTTTACACTGATCTACATCCTGGTTTGGCCTTGATCTCTGCTGGGTTTTCTGAAGTGTATCAGTTTTTTCTACAGATTTTTTTTTATTGCTATTTCTCTTTCTTTTTGGCTTGCACTTGCCATCGCTTACTTTCTGCACAGGTGTAGAGATGCTCTCTGAATTACTCTGATACTTTTGCTTCCTAATGGATTTGTACTCCCAAATGTCCTCTTCCAATAAAGCATCTTCAGACATGGCAACACACAAAATATTCTTTCTCTTAAACAACAGTTCACAAATCCACCTTTCCTTCCACTAATATGTTCCCTCTTCCCTTCCCCCCTCACTATCTGAAGAAAAGCACCCGAACTCCATTTTAAAAAAGCAACGCTGGGCCACACAACAAACAGCTGTCCGTAATGGGACAGAAGCATGGTGGAGCCTATCCTAAAAAATAATTTAATGAGTGTCTCTTTGAATGCTTGTAATTACCCTTGTTAAATAAAACCCGAGTCTGTAAGACGCAGAAAGACTTGCCATTCCCTTCGACAATCCCTCCCGCCAGCACCCAACCCGGCCGCGGAAGGTGAAGCCCAGCTCGCCCCGCTCTCCGGCAACTGAAAGATTTTAAAAGAAAACGACGAAGAGTTCAGCTACGGGCTCGCTACCGGGAAGTACCACACGGTGAAGGCCGACACCGGCACGGCGCTGCCGGGAAGGACCGCGCTCCCGCCGCCAGCGGCCCCAGCTCCGGTCCCGCCGCGGGCACCGAGGGCGGCGGCAGGGCCTCCCCCGGGGAGGTG